AAAAAAATTCCAGACCTCATAACTTACTGTACAAGAGAGGCTGCTGGACCTATAAAATTGGTGAGATGTGCATCGCAACTGAAGTCAACATGATTGTCTTTTGAAAACAAGCTGCCTCTTAGTTTCTCTGTTCTTATAAAGGATTCATGTCCACTGTTTCAGAAAAAAAATATTAATACTTCTTCGAAAGTAGCAAAATACAGAATTCACAGGTTGATTCCTTCAGGTGTAACAAAAATAGGTTTCTAAAATATATGTGGCTCAATACAAAACATGGTGCGTGGAAGGGGCAACATGATCGCAAAACTGTAGTCGAGGGTTTACAAAAAAATACAAAAAACATTTGCATTTCCAGAGTGCATAAAGTATTATACGTTTTAGTGCAAATAAAAGGATATCTCAATTCAAAGAGGGACATCTCAGATATTTGCCGAGGTCCGTAAAACATGGAATCGCTTCAGAATCATGCGGATGGAGCCCAATTCTCTATTAATTCTGTCCAAGCGATCTTCTAAGGCTTCCTGCAGAGGAGAAAAAACACGCATTCAAGGACCGGAAAAGGCAATTCACCTCCCTTCTGAAACGGGGATTCCACACCCCAGTCTCTTACGAGCTTCATTCAACAGCTTTCCACTGGAACCGAAAAGCACATCTTTGTAATGTGTACAGACAGACCCCCATTGCATTCCAGAACACTGAGGGGGAATGTGAGACCTCCCACCACTAATCAATTCCAAAAACATAGCTGGAGTATCCAAGAACAGCGGTTCGATAACACCTTACTTATCCTGGCCCCATCCTCCAAAATCTTGGGGTCTGTTATTTCCTCCCTGGTTCAACACAGTCCACTGGAGCAATATTCCCAGCCCCTATGGTCCCCCCAGATATTACAGATGCTGATTCCCGAAGTTCCGGACCACTGGGCTATGCTGGCTGGATCTTGTCGGAACTGATGTCCAAAAACATCTGGAAAGCTGAAGAATCATGGCACTAAAGCTCCCAAGAATTCCAAGTCCCTCAACCGAGCAAAGGATCCCACAGGAAAGAGTGATTTTGTATATGCAGTATAATAGATATGCTGAAAGGAGGGTGTAGAACTAACTACACCACAACTATATAGGAAGAGAAAGGGGATATTCTCTTCCCTTTACATTCCTTCCTGACAGGGAAAAGTTCAACGGGGGTAATGAAAACCACCACCACCATCTCCTCTTTCCCTAGGAATGATCAAGGTCTTAATTAAGCTCATTACTCCTCAAACCTTCTCTCACACTTTCTTCGAGGCTCAGAGGACAGGTTCTCCTCAAAAGGGACAGGTTCTTCCATTCTTTCCTCTTGAGGGAATTTTCTAAATTCTCCCCCCCTGAGGGAGGCTCTTCTTCCCTCAGGATTATCTCATAGATCTGAACAAACGTTAAACGTCTATGTCTTCGAATTCAATTTTTAACCCCACTGGGACACCTTTGGTCTCTGTGGCAATTTCTTCCAGCCCTCCTTAGGGTATCCTACAGAGCTCACTTTCCATCTTTTAAATTTCTTTAAAGTGGGTTTTGTGACTTCTTGGTGTCTGTGTGTGGTGGACACCTGGGCAGGCCTTCCATGCCACCCTGTTAAGACACCCACCATGCCTCAGGTGAAAAGCCAGAGGAGTCTTGGAAAGAGAGCTGGATTCTGGCACAGAAAAAATGGCTCCTGGTTGTGTGTTTTTCCGCTTGCTTTCCTCCCTGCAGTCAGGTGGGAGAAGAGCTCGGAGGCGGTTTTTGTGTGTAATTATTCATTCTTTGTATTTATGCTATTCTTCCAAGTGGTCCTTGAATCCCACCCCATCCCAAGGCTCACCTGCTCACCCACCAAGGAGATACAGGATCAAAATGGCATTACACCAACATGCAGGCCTTTAGGGTTGCCACTTGTGTGCCTCACTCGGCTTCCAGTCCACGGGTGATCTTACACTGTACTCAGGAGGTATGGATATAATGCTTCCACATCCCACATTCCATGTCCTGACAAATCAACTGCAGGCGTGGCCATCTTGGCTTCTCGCCCACCTGGAGGGGGACATTTTTTCCCGTTCCCTCAGCAGGGATCTGGGAGAGGCAACCCATCTAATCAGCACTGGGGCCCTCCCACAGTGGAACAGACTGGGATTTTCTCTCCTATACTGGAGGTGTGTAAATAGAGGAGCTATTGCTTCTACCCAGGGATGACTTGGGGTGGATTTGTCACCACATACATGTTTAACATCCAAAAGTGAATTTTGGCATCACTTGGCATGCTCCCCCTCCCATGGCACAGTCAATGGATTAAAGTCCACTTTTTCAGATGATCCGAGAACCTTAGTGGGTCCCATGGGTTTATATAGATTGAAAACCTGGTTGTGGGATAGGGACCAAGCAAGATAGAAGAGGATGAGTGACGTTGTTCTTGGGCTCTCAAAGTGATGATGGCATTCCACAGGCGTCCTCTGAAGAGATGAGGAATTGGCTCCCTGAGAGAGCCCCCTACTTGTCTGTGGGACCCAAGAGAGCCAAGTGAAGGTTCACAATGGATAGAGTGTCAGACGAAGACTCATTTGTCCTGGGAATTCACTGGTGGGAAGGCAATAACGAGCCTGTCATCCAAAGACTCACCCCAATTCTAAAACCCTACAATGGGAGACAAGAGTACTGCTAGAAAAGGGCTCAGGAGGCCTAACCACTTCCTGAATGCTTCAGATTTCCCAGGAAAAACTTAATTAGGGTTTTGGAAATCCTGTGGGCTCCTAGATTTCCCAGGAAAAATTAGGGTTTTGGAAATCCTGTGGGCTCCCAGAGGCATCTGGTGAGGTGGGGACACGGGGAGAGACAGGAAGGGGTCCTGGGCCTGATCCACCACAGGACTGTCCTTAGATTCTTACGTAACTTCCTCTAGGAAAAAGGCAAGGGGAAAAAGGCTCCCTTCCACCTTTCCCCCTCCAAAAGAACCCCACACGCAGGAGCAGTTTCTTCAGTTCACCCTCCTGGATCCCAAAAGAAAGGAGACATTCAGGAGAGCCCCACGCAAAGCTGCGTCCCACACACAGCAGTTGAGGCAGGGTTGAACCCAGCAGGATTGGGAGCTAAAACAATGAGAACACTCTGCACATGTTTATATTTATTTATATGCCAATGGTTTAGACATTTTGAGCCTAACCTGGTAAATAGAAAACCCAATTAGCATTGCATACACCTGGGGGGCAGGAAAGTTTTAAGGGTCGGATCATACTTCCGCAGTATTAAGAAAGCAGGCCCGGTAGGTGGGGCTCCTCAGCCTCGAGAACTCGCTGCTCCTGCGTACGTCGCCCGTTGCTGGGCGGAAGCCCTCCAGGGCTGGGTCTCCTTGGGCGTCCCCCTGCCGGTTTATGAGGTAATCTATGAGGGGGTTGCCTGGCAACCCAGCGACGCGCAGAAGAAAATGGAGACCCAATGAGAGCTCGCTCCTCCTCCTGCTCCTTAACGCGTCACCTGTCTCCGGGAAGAAGCCCCTCCCTCTGGAAGGCTGGCTGGGCAAGAGCCCCCGTTTTCCCCACCCACCCCTTTCTTCCCCCTCAGAGTGACTGACAGGCTGCCCTCCAAGCTCCACCCACGGCTCGTCTCTGCGCACGCGCGAGATCCCCTCCCTGGCTCGCTCTCCCGCGCATGCGCTCCTCTTCCCCACAGAGGGGGCGTAAGGCGGCCAGAACGTCTCCCCTCAGGGAGGCGGTTGGGCGAGTTTTTGTGGCCCTTCTGGCAAGTAGCCCTCCCCCCCCCGTCCATGGGAGAGTGGGGGCCGGGGGGGGAGGGGGAGGGCTGAGTTGGGTGAGGTTAGAAGGTGGTTTTCTTTCTCTCTCTTTGGTTCTACATTGGCCCTCTCTAATATTCTTCCTCCCTCCCAAGGCTACAGGAAGTGGCCGGGCCAGGCTCAGAGGTCAGCCCCAAAACAGCCCCCTGCCTTGAGGCCCTCCCAGGGCCCAATTAAGGCCCCCCCCCGCGCGCATAGTCTTACTCCTGCCACCCTTCGTTTTGTGAAGGGTATGCAATTTCTGAAGAAGTGCTTGTGGGAAGGGGGTTCAAATCATCCTTTCCTCTTTGCCTTTGGCTGTGACAGGGAAGGGTTGTGGGGTTTTGTTTTTGCCGTTCTGCTTTTAAGTTGGCTGATGGTGAATGCACTCTTCGCAGGCTCAGGGGAACAGTTGTTCCGAGCCTTAAGTTCTCGCCTCAGTCAGGTCTTTTGGTTTTGGCTTTCCTGATAACGTTTGGCCACCCTCTCCCCATCTCTCAGGCTGGGGCCTCGGGCCATCCTTAAGCTGTTCCCCCCCCCAGCATTAGAGAGTTGGGGGGGAGAGCACAGGGTCAACAGAGGCAAAACTGCCCCTCAGTTCCCCCCCACACGCACCAGTGTTTCTCAAGGACAAGGAAAAGTCTGTGCGATGGTTGTCCAGAACAGCACCATTCGAAGGAGGAGTGAGGAAGCTTAGAAAAGTTCCTTTTGGGGGGGGGTTAAAAATCCCCTTTCTGTGGCCACACCAGCTGGGGGATTGTGGGATCAGTAGTCCGTGGAAGTATCTTCCCCCTCCCCAAATAACAGGGGTACCTTGATCATAAATGATGGTGGGGGGGGAGAGATCTGGAAGCTCCTTCTGTTTTGATTCTTCTCGGTGGGTTGCCCATCGTTGGAGATGAGCCGGGGGGGTTCTTAAGGTGAAATAGGGACACCCTTGTGACGTGGAGGAGGGCCTTGTTAAAATGTCCCCGAGGGGTGACTGGCAGGTGATGCGAGATTGACACGGGGCTCAGATTTGCACTGGTGTGTGTGTGTGTTTTGGAAGCTGATGGGGGCACTGAGGCACATGGGTGCCCCGCTGCCTCACACAAGGGAGTCCCCAGAGACAATGTCTTCCACCAAGGGCTCCTCACACACACACACACACACACACACACACACACACACACACACTGTGGTGCAGCTGCTCCCTCCAGATTTTGGGCTTAGGCAAATCATGGACGATGGGTGTGCGTGTCTTCTCTGTGGACAACAACCCCCCCACCGGTAGTGGCTCAAGGTTGTGATTGTGGCAACGGCAGGAAGGGGCAGCACTCTTCACATGCTAAGAGGCTCAGTGTGTTCCCGGAAGTTGTTTGGTGAACGGTTAAGGCCGCTTTCCCAACCCGGTGCCCTCCAATTGTGGTGGGGGGGATCTTTTGCCTCCCAACGAGAGAACGCTGGAATGGAGAGGAAGAAAATCATACCGAGAAAGGAACAAAAATGGGGTAGGAAAATGTTGAAAAGTCTGGAATGAGGAGGAATGACAAGGTTTGGTTTATGTTCGCGTAGAGAAAAAGTGGGAAACAGGAAGGACAGCAGAGGGGGGCCAAATCCTGTCCAGCCTGGAGAGAGTGCCTTGGAAGAGGTATATCTGGCTTAAGGAAACCAGCAGATCCAAGAGGTTGGATCAGGCCCAAAGCTCTCTCTGGTCCAAATCTGTTTTTATTACATTGGGAAGCCCCCCCCCCCATATTTTGCAGTTGTCTAGAACTGCTATAGGAGAGGCGCAAAAAATGTCCTTTCCCACCCTGCAAGATTTGTGACCCTGTGGAATTCCCTGCCACTTCTTGAACGGTAGCATCCTTCTCCCCTGCCTCCTCCTCCCCCCAAATCTTCCGCAGGGTCCTGAGCGCCTTGCTTTGCTCCTGGCTGGCTGGCTACCCAGAGGACTTTATGGGGCTGGAAGTCGGCCAGCGGGAACAGCTGATCTCCCAGCTGCGTTGGGTCCTGGGGGCTGGGTCAGAGTGTGAGAAGACCCTCACGGCCCCGGCAAGAGAAGGAGCCCCCCAGGAGGGCCCTGAAGGACCTGGCGGAAGGCGAGGGTGTTGGGGATGATGCCCCGGAGAGAGACCCCAACCCCCACTACATCCTGGGGCTGCAGGTGGAGGACGTGGCAGCTTACCTGACTGCACAGGACGCCATAAGTCAAAATGGGGTCGGGTGGGAGGCAGGCAGTTTGGAAGGAAAGGGGCTGTGATCAGAGTGGAACAGAGTTATTTTCATTTCATTCTATCTATCTGTCTATCTATCTATCTATCTATCTACCTCTACCTACCTACCTACCTACCTACCTACCTACCTACATATCTATATCTCTCTCTCTGTCTCTATCTCTATCTATCTATCTATTCATTTATTCATTCAATTTCTACACTGTCCATCTGTTGAGGCCACTCTGAGCAGTTTACAAGGTGATAAAGACCACCAACGACACTTTAAATGGGTCCACGATGTAACAGGACAAAAATCAAATTAAACACATCACTCAATTTAAGCTAAAAAAAAAAAGAAAAACTAAGCAAAAGACAGCATGAAAACATGGAAGACAAGAGAACTGATAGTTTAAGCTGTGCCGCAGTGCAGTGCTTGAGAATGAAGTTACAGTGGTGCCCCGCATTGCGACAATAATCCATTCAGAAAAAATCATTGCTATCCAGATTCATCACTATGCGGGACTAAAAACCCCATAGGAACGCATTAAAACACGTTTAATGCGTTCCTGTGGGGGATAAACTCACCGCTATGCGGAAATCCTCCATATGGCCGCCATTTTTTCCACCCGGTATGCGAGGGAAACCGCGCGAAAACGCTGCGGGCAGCCATTTTTTTCTTCCGGCGGCCATTTTGGACCCGCCGGTCAGCTGTTTTTAAAACATCACAATGCAAAGATCAATAAGCGAAACGCTTACCAATCATCGCAATGCGATTTTTGGCCATTGAGAGCGTCGCAATGTGATCGTTTTTGCGATCGCAAAATCCGCATCACTATGCAGATTTGTCATTAAACGGGGCCCTTGCTATGCGGGGCACCACTGTACTTTATCTGAGGAACTGGTAATATGTTCTAGCTGTCTTTTAAAGTTATGCTTGGCAGCTCAGTGGTTTAGGTATAGAGGTTGGGAGTTCGATTTCCCCCACATTGCCTCCAGGTAGAGAAGAGCGAGCCTGGGTGGCCTTGGGCCAGCTGCACTGCCCCACAGCGTCCCTAAAGGAAGGGAAGGATAAAACCACTTCTGTATACAGTATTCTCTACCTGGAAAACACTGGAAAAGGATTTGCATAAGTCAGAACTGATTTGACCGCATGCAATTATTATTATTATTATTATTATTATTATGCAAAATTATGTTTTAAGGGTAATTTTAGATATATTTAGGGTTTTTTTTAACATAAGTGACATAAGGTAACATAAGTGACTTTTAAAATTTTCCAATCAGTAATAACAACAACGAACTGCTTTAAAATACTTTAATGAAGAAAGGTTGCTTTTTTAGAAACCAGCCTTTCAAGGTCTGGAAAATATACAGTGGGGTCTTGACTTGAGAACTTAATCCGTATTGGAAGGTGGTTCTCAAGTCAAAAAGTTCTCAGGTCAAATCTGCATTTCCCATAGGAATGCATTGAAAACCATTTGATCCGTATCTGCTCTTTTCCGTCCATAGAAACTAAACAGGCACCCTTTTCACTGGCCAACAGTTAACTGAAAGTTCACATTTTGCACTTTCCCTGCCTCCCACATGGGTTTTTTTCAGTTCTTAACTCAAATCTAAGTATGTAAGTCAAGTCAATATTTTCCTATGAGAGTGGTTCTTAAGTCAAAATGTTCTTAACTCAAGCCGTTCTTAAGTCAAGACCCCACTGTACACGAATAACTGCGTAAATACATGGACTCCACCAGGGGAAAATCCTGTGTTTTGTGTTATCTAAATTCTATCTTTGATTTGAAAAACAAACAGCGTGGAAACTGGGAGCTGATTATGTCTTGAGTTTTCTCTGGCTTTCTCTCAGCTGGACGAATTCAAAGAGATCAGCTGTAGGTTATATTTTATATCTCTTCCATATCTTGGCTAGGTTCTGAACCAGTGAAAACTGGCAGATCCCTTTTGGGGCCAGGAAAGCTTGTGCTGTGTTGAAAAGTTAGTAAAATTGCTGGAAGTAGAAGGTTTGACAGTACAATTGGGTGCATCCTTAGAGATACCGGGAAGTTTATATAAAAACAATCTTAGGACTACATATATATAAAAACAAACACGTTGAGTCAGCCTATATATAAAATCGTCCTTTAGAACTGTAATGGCCTCCTTCCACCTCACAAAGGAAGGTCGCTACATCACCACACTTCTACACTCCCGGTAGTCTGCCACCAACCATTCCCTGAATTGAGTCACACAGACTGGAATGGATTTAAAAATAAAAGGACTAAATGTTTATTGATTGGTACACATGGATTGGTAAAACACAAATATCATGTAACCTTCTGATGCTTGCACCCAGGACCACGGGCCCTAGTTTCCTGCTGGCGTGGAAGCCCGTCTGTCATTTTGGAGGGCGGGGTTCCCCGGTGGTGGTGGGGGGCGCAAGGCAGGAATGGATCTGGGCCTCTGTCTTCCTCACTGACCTTCTCCCCCTTCTGTTCCCCCAGGAGCTCTTCCTGCGCCTCGTCCCCCAGGAGTGCGTGGGCTCTCTGTGGTCCAAGCAGGACAGGAAGTGCCACGAGAGGGCCTGCCCCACAGTCCGGGCCACGGTGGCCCAGTTCAGCCTGGTGGCCAAGGCCGTGGTCTCCTCCTGCCTCGGGGACACCGGGCTACGGGCCGCCCAGCGGGCTCGGCTCCTGGAGAAGTGGATCCGGGTGGCCGAGGTGAGTGGGTCTCAGGTGGAGGGTTCCCTTGAGTCGTCCCCCCCCGACTCTTCTGCCCTGGGGGGAGAGGCTCCAGAGTCATCATCTACTCTGCTTCCTTGTGTCCCTCCAGGAATGCTTTTGCCTCCAAAATTTCTCTTCGCTCTACGCCATCATCTCTGCCCTACAGTCCACGCCCTTGCACCGGCTCAAGAGGACCTGGGAGAAGACCTCCAGGTGAGGGGCCGAGGGGCAAGAGTCAGACTTCCCCCTAGAAACCCCCCCCAATCATGTTGCAGAGTTTTGAACTTGGTTTAAATTCCATTAGAAGAATAGCTTCAAGTTTTCCCCATTGTAGGCCTCCTCTTTTTGTTTTCTTCTTCTCCCTCATCCATTGGCACTTACAGTCTCAATAACTCAATCTGGGACATCAACAGCAGGAAGCATAAAACATGTTTCTTTACTTACAGTGGAACAAACCTGGCTGGTTGGCTTTGAGCAACAGACCACAGAGAAGGAAAGAGATACAGAGCGGAGAGGCGGGGCTCTCTTTGAACTCAAAGGCAGGGAAAGAACGATTGGTTAGTGCTGG